CGCGGCCGCTGGGAAACCTCCGGCACTGGAGGATGCGGGCCGAGATCCGAGGCAGCATTGGGCAACCGTGGCCACATTCGATGATCGCGCCCGTCCTGTCGCCAAGGATGCCCGCTCGGATCAGCAGCGGCCCCTCGCTGTCCAAGGTCGAGAGCTCCACGTTCATCCTGTTGGCGCCGAGGTTGATGGCGCCAGCCATGGTGCCCATCTCCGAAGGATGGCCATCGCGCCATCACTGAGTTGACATTGGGAATCGAACTTCGCCCCCATGTCTTTTGCGTTTGCGTAGCGCTCGCAGCGCAGGCGGGGGCCGCCCGCGGCGTAGCGTCGAACCGCCAGACGCGACGGTCGCGGCGCCCTGTCAGCGACGATCTGCCCAGCATGGATCGAACGGATTTCGAGTGAGGGGAATGAGCGGGGCTCCTGCGTGATTAATCACGCACAGATCGGCATTCACTTCTGCGTAACCAATCACGCGTGGATCGATCTCCACGTCGGCTCGCAGCTACAACGCATTCAAAGTGCGACCATGCTGCAACAACAAGCTCGAATGAAAGAAGTAAGGGTCATACATAGCGAGCGGATCATTCCAAAACGGATGCGTCCCGAACCTCGCTGAAGTTGATCGTTGCACGGGGTCGACCACCCTCTCGCTGTCTCAGTGCTCTGAGATACAGAGGCATCCGCAAGCGAGCGCTCTGATCGCGAACATCTAGAGGCGCATCGCCCCTGGCGCCCTGCAGTCGCCGCCCCGTAAAGCCCCGGAACCTTTGCAGACGCAGGAATTCTGCAAGTCTGCTAGCTCGTAGGGTCGAGAGATCATTCCTAAAGTTCGCGTTTGAATTGCATAGGCGAGCTCGTCGAACTCGCAGAGAAGGCGATTAAAAAACAATGAAGAACCCAGTTGGCGCAACGCGCGCAGACACATGCGAAATCCGCACCCGCAAAGCAATCATCCAACAAGGCCACTTGGAATCGCTGCGCATCCAGCCCTCCTGATACCCTCCTCGAACCCATAATGCACCGAATGTAATGGGTAGCCTCGCGTTACCATTCTACCCGATCCAGCGCCAATCAATCACCGCAGTTAATTCACAATGGACGCGTTTGAACTCAATGAGCGAGCCTGCAGAGAGCGCAAGGGGGAGGGCGAGAGGAGGATCAGAGGCGGGCGAAAGGAGGACGGGAGGAGCAAAAGCAAGCAAGCGCAAGCCAGCAAGCGGAGGCAAGCAAGCGCGAACAAGCGAGCGGAAGCAAGCCAGCGCAAGCGAGCAAAAACATGCAAGCAAGAGTCAGCCATCGAGCGCAAGCAAACAAGGGCCAGTGAGAGCAAGCAAGCGAGAGCAAATAGGGGGGTGCCATTGGAAAAAGGGAGGGGGGGAGGGGCGCGCCATTGGCCACAGGGGGGGGGGGGGGGGCGGCCCCAAAGACCAATTACTGAGAATGAGCTAGGACCCCACATAGGGCAAGCTTATTTGGATAATGAAGGCGAAACGCCTTCGAAAACCAAATCGATCTCCACATAGCAACAACCCAACGAGCAACGACCCAACGAGACCATTTGAAAGTAAACCCTCACCAAGCCCTCCCGTTGCCCTCCTCATGCAAATCAATGTTCGCACATGCCTCCGGCGCGCGCTGCCGATGCCATCCCGACGCAGGATTGCGTGCCGCAGACGATCAACGTTGGGACTGAACCCACTTTTGCATTTCGAATTTGAACCTCAACATCATCATTGGGATCAAGTTCCTGACGTATAAACTCATCTGCCCCCGCGTGGCATTCCGCCCCTGTGGATTGCGCGCCGCCGCCGACCTCAAATTTGGGGCCCGCCCCAATTCGGCATTCTGAATCCGATGTGATTTCTGATTCCATCTCGCCGGCCAGTTCGCCCATTTAGCGTGAACATCAAAAACTTGATGCGCCTCGCAGTCTGCCAAGCGCCCGCGCCGCGCCATCGCCCCCGCGCCGCAGATGGGAACCTCGGCCATCGTGATCCCCGGCAAACTGCGCGTCGCACACCGATCAGTGATGGCACATATCCCACTGTCATCACCCAACATCAAAACCGACTCGCCTAGCTCCGCGAGGAAGAACCCCGGCCCACCTCGCCCCTTTCCTCGGGGCCGTTCCGCGGGAGGCGCCCAGGGCAGCCCTTGGCCCGGCGTCCAACTATGTCCAACTTTCCGGAAAGCCAGCCATCTAATGCGGCGCATATCTCGGGGCCGCCCCGGGGCTTGCGCCAGCGCCCTTGCTTTTGCGGTCTTCGCGTCGCTCGCGGAGAGGGCGATGAAGCGGCTTGGGGCACTCGTCGCGAGCGACCTTCAGCTTGCGCATCAGGTCGGGCGCGTCTCTGAAGTTCCGCCGCGTGCTCCTGAACTCCTCGAAGGTGCCGTCGTCGCCGTCCTCGTAGCTGTCCGCCTCGCCGAGCAGGACCTCGCCCTCCTCGTCCGCGAAGCTCGCCAGCTGGTCGACGACGTCGGCCACCTCCTGGCGGTCGTCCGCCTCGAGGGATCCGCTCTCGTTGCGGTCGGGCGGTCTCTCCGACATGCCCGCCGTGCCTGTCCTTCTCGTCGTTGGCGCCATCCTGCTCCTGCAGCGCCTCTAGCGGGCGCCCGGGCACGGCGCCTTGAACGCGCTGTCGAAGCGGCGCCCGCCTCAAGCCGCGACGGCGATGCCGCCGCGAGCAACTGGTGTGAAATGCGAGCGGCGCACGTACCACCAGGTCCGCAGCAGCCTGGCGATGATCGTCTGCGCTGATGGATCCCGCGCCCTTGGCTGCGAAAGCAGCTCTCGCTCCTGGGATTCCCACCGCACCGTCCAGTCCGAGAAGGACTCTCCAACGTTGCGCTTGAGCATGCGAAGGAATTTTCCGCCGCGCCCCCGAGCTCGTTTACGTTGGACACGCCAAGCTACGATAGTTGGGAACTCGAAGACTTGCGCCCAGCCCAGTAGCTCCCCATCCTTGCCGACCTCGTCGATTGTCTCAATCTCTGGGTAGTTCTGGACGAAACGACGGGCCCCGGGCCCAAAATCTCGGGCGAGCGGAGGACCCGCAACACCTCTGTCTGCACCTTTGTAGCTCTTGCACAAGAACCAAAACGTTTGACTTGAAAAATAAAAGTTCCTGAGGGTCGCCGGCCCGCAAGGGAGTCTCGACGCGGGAGCCTGCATTCCCAGCGCCTGCCGAGGAAGAAGCCGTAGTCATTTCTCAACTCGAATCACTTCTTTGGCCGCAGTCGAGGAAGTTACACTGCTCTCACTACCAATATGAATGCAACGCGCCTCCTGGAGGCGGAAAATACAAGACGACGAACGCACAAAAAGGACACCTTCTGTCCTCGTACAGGGACCGCGATCTCCATGCGCGGTCGGGCCTCCTGTCGGGAAGCTTTGCGAAACCACCCGCCCACCAAGTGAGCCTGACTAGGCTGTGGACGAGTACGCTGGCCAGCATCAACCTCCACGCTTTTGGCAGCGAGGCGGGGGGGGGGTAGCGGGGGAGGTCTTGGGTCAGAGGACCATACCCCTGGGGAAGTCCCGGGGCCTAAAAATTGTCCAAGAAGGCCCCCAATCGCCGATTCATCGGTCCAAGACGCCCAAGATAGCCTCCAGACAGCCTGAAAGGCCTACGAGACGTCCCGAGAGGCCTCCAAGAGTACTCCCACGAGGCAAACTTCAGTCATTGTCATTTGTGTCCTTTTGGTTTTTCCCCAATTCGGGTTGGCTAAAGGGTTCATATTTGGTTGAACAGTGATGCCTTCTATTGTTACTTTGCCCGTTCCTCGGAGGTTCCCGGGAATCCCCGCCCCCGGCGCTTCCTATTGTTACGTGTCTCGGACCGTGTCTCGTTCCTCGGTGGTTCCCTGGGTTCTCCGCCCCCGGCGCCCCATGCCAAGCAATGCCAAGCAATGCGAAGCAATGCCGCAATGCCAAGCAATGCGAAACAGTTCGAAGCAATGCCAAGCAATGCCAAGCCCTGGGTTTGCTTGAATCCCCGCCCCTGGCGTCTCGTGTCAAGCAATTCCAAGCAATCCCAAGCAAAGACAAGCAATGCTAAGCAATGCCAGCCTATGCAAAGCAATGCGAAACAATGCCAAGCACTGCGCCCTATGCAATAGGACACTTTTCTCCAATTGGGGTCGCGCCGGGTTCATTGACAGATTTTGGCGTTCTTGCCTTTTCGGCTTCCCGACGCTCCAAGACGGCCCAAGAGGCCCAAAATATTGCCCCAACACGGCCCAAGAGGCCCCCAAGACGGTCCCCACGAAGCCCGACGGCGCCCCCAAAAGGCTCCAGAGAGGCCTCCAAGTGGCTCCCAAGAGACTCCACAACTGCCCCTCAGAGGCCCCCGTGAGCGCTCCGAAGAGACCCCAAGAAGCATCCCTGAGGACTCTGTCTGACCCACGTGAGCGTCGTGGTCGTCGCCACCGCGGCCGTCGTCGTCGTCCCCCTTCAGGGTCGAGGGCACCGGCCGCAAGGTCGTCACAGTACATCTTTGCAGGGACCTATCTTGGAGGGAGGGTTTATTGGAACATCGTTGATGCGTTTTGGCTCTACACTGGTCCTCCTCCCCCTCCTCCTCTCCAGTCTGTCGCTCCTCCTCCTCCTCCTCCTTCTCCTCCTCCTCCTCCTCCTCCTCCTCCTCCTCCCCTCCTCCTCCTCCTCCTCCTCCTCCTCCTCCTCCTCCTCCTCCTCCTCCTCCCTGTCGTCCTCTCCTGATCCTCTCCTCCCTCCTCTCCTCTCCTCCTCCTCCTCCTCCTCCTCCTCCTCCTCCTCTCCTCCTCCTCCTCTCCCCCTCCTCCTTCTCCTCCTCCTCCTCCCTCCTCCTCCTCCTCCTCCTCCTCCTCCTCCTCCTCCCCTCCTCCTCCTCCTCCCCCCTCCCCCCCCCCCTCCTCCCCCTCCTCCTCCTCCCCCCTCCCCCCTCCTCGTTCCCAGTCTGTCACTCTGCCTCAGTCTTCCACATCCTCCGCCCCCCCCCGCGGCCCACGCGGGCCGCCTCGATCGCGCCCGTTGCCTCCACCACGAGCGATGCGCCCCCGGCCTGGATGGGGCGGGTAGCCGAGCCCGCCGGAGGGAAGTCGCGCCAGACGAGGACGAGGACGAAGACAAGGACGACGACGACGACGAATACAGGACCCCGCTCAGGAGTCTCCTTGGTGCGCATGTACGTGGCTATTGACGAGAAGCGATGGTGATGATGCTAGGACGCGAGGCTGCTAAGACACCAGGATGCCACGGATGCCACGGTGCCAGGCGGCCAAGATGCCAGCATGGCAAGACCCCAGGATGCCAAGGTGCATATGCGACCTTCGCGGCATGAGGAACCTGTCGGATCTGCGGGACCGATGGGGCCTGTGGAACATTTGGGACCGTACGACCTGTGGAACATCTGGGATTTGGCCACCTGTGGGGCCGCATGGCCAGGAAGGCCAAAAAGTCTTCGAAAACTGCCCCAGGAGGCTCCGAGGGGAATCAATAGCCCGACACAGCCGGAAGTGGCCTGAAGATGCACATAAAAAGCTCAAGGAGGGCCCCAAGACGCACGCACCTGAGAGGACAACAGAAGTACGGACACGAATCATTATTGGTGTCTATGCGTCGTCGTCGTGCGTCACGCGTTTTGCTCCCAAAATTTTCAAATATCGCTTCAAGGCAGCCGCCGGAACCCCCGAGATTGCCCGAAACGGCCCGAAAGGCTCCCAGATGCTACAAGATGCAAAACAAATTGCCCAGGATGACGCGACAAAGCCCCGCAGTGGTCTCAAAAGGGCACCAGAGGCCCTCAAGGTAGAACCGGTATTCTCCGACATGGCCAGAAGGTGTCCGCAAGATGCCTCCCAGAGGCCGCGCTGCGAAACATCCACAATATAGTTCAACCTTGAGAACTGGCGGCAGAGGGCGCAATTCTACACGCGCACGCTTTCTAATTTAAGCGGCGCGCCGCACAGAAAACAAAAAACATGTCGAGCCGGCCCACTGGGCCATTCGACGTCGAGCGGGGAGAACCGGACCCGCGGGGCCCAGCGGAAAACGAGAGAGAGAGAGAGAGACCAACAAAAAAAACAGAGGAATAAAAAAGAAAGAGAGCGATATAGAGAAAGAGAGAGAGAGAAGAAACAAGAGAGAGAGAGAGAAGAAACAAAAAAAAAAAGCGAGAAAGAGAGAAAGAGAGAGAGAGAGAGAACAACAAAACGCACACCTTTTTGCGGAGTCCAGCGTGGCGGCGGGGCGGCGGCGCTGGCCAGCGCGGCAGCGGAACGCCTGCTCCAGGGCCCCCCCGCCTTACCTGCTCAGACAGACCCCAGCGCGGGCTCGCGGTCAGCCCCCCCGCCAGGGCTGGCGCCCGGCGGCGGCGACGGGGGCTGGTGCCTGACCGCGCAACGCGGCGACGGCCAGCATTGCAGCCGCGGGCCCCTCCAGCGCCCGCCCGCGCGGTCGCGGGCCGCAGCAGCTCGGGCTGGGCAGCGTGGCGGCGATCGCTGAATGCGCCGCGCCTGGGGGGGCGCCGTCAGCGCCTGGGCCAACAGGGCAGGCTGGTTTCCCCCTTTTCCCGCGTTGGCCCAGCCGCCGCTGGCGCCCCCGCGCAGCCTCCGCGCCTCCTGCGCCAGCAGCGGTCGGACTGCCAGTCCTGGGCCTTTCGGGCCCGCGATCGGGACTTCGCGCCGGCGCCCCTTCTCCCTTCTCCGACAGCAGCGCGGGGGCAGGGCCGTGGACCCCACGAGCGCGGGCGGCGTCGCGCCAGCGGCCGGCAGAGTGCGGCGCGCCCTCGGCTCGCCTCGCGGCTGCACGCGGGCCCCGCTTGAACGTCTCCCAGCATCCCAACGCTCGGGGGCGACCCGGCGCGCGGGCTTGAGGCGCGCCGCCATCGGGAGCGCGGAGACCCGCAGCTGCCCAGAGTGCTCGAGTCACTCCTGAGCCAGGAACGCCCCGCCCCGCGCGGCCAGGACACGCGCCTTCCGCTGGGCGACGGCTTCCCCAGCTCGGAGAGCATCGCTCCGTCCGCGCTGCCCTACCATCCTCGCCCTCGCACGCGGCGGCGCCGGCGCCCGTGCGGGGGCGGCGCCAGGCGGGACGCCCAGCAGCAAACCTTCGGACGCGACGGCGTCGACGTGGGCGAGGACTTCGGCCAACTCAACGCGCGCGCGATCCTCCCGCGGCGAGGCGGCCGGCGGCTTACGCGGCGCACGCGTGAAATCTGCGTTCCGGTCGGTGGCGAGCTGCCACGTCAACGAGCTGCTAGCCCGGGCGCCGCGGGCCAAGGCGCCTTCGCGGCAGCCCCCCAGGGTCGCGTTCACACCCCGAGGGCGGCCCGCGGGGCCACTAGCGCGCGCTCGTAGATCCAGCGCCAAGCGGGCCCCGCTCTCGCGCCGAGTCCGAAGCCGAGCTGCGAGCGGACGTTGGGGTCGTGCGGAGGCCAAAGGGGGACGGGAAAGACACTAATTAGAGAGAAAGTGCCCCTCCCTCCTCCTCCTGGGGTTTTAGAAACTTGAGCCAAACGCAAAGCCAACGCAACACTGAGCACAGTGTCGAGAGCCCACATGAGACCTCAAGGGACAGGGGGGCTAGGATTCAGAAGACAACACTCTCTATTTTAGCGCCCCTCGAGGTCTGAAGATATAACGGGCACAGAGCATGCGCCGCGCCCGCGCAGAACGGCCCCCCCCGAACCCCCCGCGCGAGCACCCCAGAACACGCTCCCAGAGCGACGGGTACCGGATGAGGGACTTCGGGCAGGGGCCGGCCTCGTCTTCCACGAGCTCCTGCTGGCACGGGCTCCTATTCCTCCTCCTCTGGGCCTTGCTCGTGTCGAACGCTACGGGCGTCAGACTAGCACCGGCTGTGCTCGCGGGGAGACCGTGCAAATCCGCCGGCCGCCTGGGTGGCCCTCCTCTCTGTCAGAGCGACGGGTGCCGGATGGGGACTTCGGGCGGGTGCTGAGCTCGTCTCACGCGAGCTCCTCCGCTGCCTCTCCTTATTCTTCCGCACCTCCTCTCCCTTCTTCCGCGCCTCCTCTCCTCTTTTCCTCCTCCCCCTCCTCTTTTCCCCCTCCTCCGCCTCCTCCTTCTCGGGAGCTACCCTCTCTCCGAATGGGCCTGCAGCTTCAGACTCCACCTGCAGCAATGCCTTCCGGGAGGCAGCTCTCGTCCTGGACTTCGGCGAGGCATTGAGCGATCGCTCATCGAGGAACCCCGACTCGTCCACTAGAGCCAAAGTGCCCCGACACATTAAGTCGGCCAGGGCGAAGTTCCCTCGAGCCGGATTGACCTTGGTCACGCAATCCGAAGGCATCCTACAAAGGGGGGCCCAACGGGCCACAGTGCCTGATGCCGCCATGGCGCCCCGGACTATAGCCATCTCGATGGCGTCGCGACGATCTGCCCTTGCCCCCCCGCAGTTCTTGGACATTGTGTCAAACGGAGACTTCGCGCCGACGACGGCGACCCCGCTAGCGGCCGCTGCGAGCTCGCAGTCTTCGGCAAGAGCACCAGTAATAGGGCAGGCGGTCCCGGGGCGCCACCAGTCGGGCCCCTGAACGTCTCCGACGAGGGCATCTCGGAACGCGAGCCAGCTCGAGCCACCGCCCCTCGGCGAGTGCCCCAGAAAGACTAAGCTTCTCGGCCGCGAGCGTGGGCACCGCGACTCGCCTCAGACGTTGACTTCCCCAGGACAGAAGAGACACTCGGGCCCTCCTATTCTCCATAGCCCGCGCCTTTCCCAACGTCGCGAGCCAGGCTCCCTGGGCCCCTTCCTTTTTGGCGGCCCCGGGCCCCCCCGCGTTGCTGCAGGCGGTCAGCGTCGCCGCGCTGAGGTCCAGGGGCCAAATCGTCAACGAGTTGCAAGTCGTGCTGCGAAGATATCGGGCGACTTTGTTCGCCATCAGAATCGAGGCAACAGTGGCATTAGGGCACTCTGCACTGAGCGTCGAGGCGGATCCAGACACGCCGGGGCGAGACCGTCGCGCTGTCCAAAGGATCTCGGCGATCAGACCTCGATAGTCGCGGAGCTCCCCCTCGGTAAGTGCCCACCCTGGGTTCTGAGCGCGTTTCTTGAAAATTCTCATGGGCCTGACTTGTTCGAGAATGTCTTTCGAGAATGTCTTTCTCCTGGCCCGCGAGAATGCGACCATCCGTCTGTTGACGGATCCTCCTCCCTGCGTGCTCGGCCTCTCCGAGCTGCCACTTCCCAAAGTGGAAACAGTGGGTCTGCTTCTCTTTGAGTTCCTGCTCGAAGGCGGGACCGCAGGCGATGATGAGGTCGTCTACTTCCATGACCACCAATCCTCTCAGAGCCCCCGAGGGATAGTGAGATGCCCAGAGACAGGGTTCCAGAAGGGATCGACGGAACCCCAGGGACTTTAAATGAGAAGTCAGAGTCTGACGCCACCGGATGGGGGCATCGTTTGGCCCGTAGACAGGGGCCACCAGCTCCAGCAGAGATCCTCGGGGAACGTCCACTTCGCCGCACGGTTCCGCATATATTTGGCCATTGGGGCGAGCAAGGGGGGCAGCCTGACAGAAAGCATTCTTGGCGTTGGCAATATGAAACTCTCAGCCCTGGCCAGCAATCAGTTGGAGGGCTATCAGCGCGGCCTCTTCCTGGGGGGTGCGCGCGTAGACGCGGAGGGACTCGGCGTCGGGGTCGGAGCACCCGCGGACGCACCACCTGGACTTGGCCTTCACCCGGGGCCCCACCCCCTCTTGCGGCTCCCACCCCCTCATCATGCGGAACGAAAGAATGCGAGAGGGCCCCCTGCGACGGATCAGCGCGGCAGCCTCTGGAGGGGTGACCCTCGCTGCCTTGCTGGGCGCCGTGGGTGCCCATTCGGGCGCGTCGGACAGTCGGGGCTCTCCTCGTTCCTCGGGGGAAAGCTTCTTCCAGACGATCTCCTGGCCGCGGCGACCAGTCTCCGAGCCGTCGCTAGCCGCGGCGAACGAGAGAGGGTCTTCGTCTCCTCCTTCCTTGGCCGTCAGCTCGAGCATCAAAGTTTGGTCCCGCGCGCCCATGTATTCGGCCCTGTGGAGTTCAATCCAGAGGCACCCG